CAAGTTTAAATATTTGGGATACTCTGCTCCTTCCAATGTCTTCTGATGGCGGAAGTCGAGCTGCTAAACGAGCTCATAATACAGGATCTAGATATAGGAGGAAGGCCTCACCTGTGGGTGATAATTTGGAATGTTCCAATGCGTTGTGTGATGATAAGGAGGGCAAAGTGAGTATTGATGGTGTTAGTATGCATGGTTCATGCAGCAAGCCTAGCCATGTTAATAACCAGGCACCTAAACTTTGTCGGGGGAAAGGCCAGGGAGGGAGTTAGGATAGGGAGTTGCACCGTCTTATGACGCTTTTGGAGTTGGGGATAAGACAGGCAGTCGTTTTAAGGTTAAGAATTCTATTGGATTACCTGAACGTAGTGACACTCAATGTGCGTTTACATCAAATTTGAGCTGTTTGGCTTCAATGGTGAACAGCATCTGTTTGCCAAGGATAGAGCTGATGTACTCAGGTGATGAAGATATCCAACCATCACCACCACCAACAACAAGAAGCATCAATCACTATCAATGGGAAAAATCTAAAGGAAGTTGTCTCCTTCACCTACATAGGCGGAGCAGCATCGTTTCAACTACAGACGGCACAGGCACGGATGAGGATATCAGGGCCAGGATCGAAAGGAAAGTAGGGCAGGCATTCATTAATCTGGAAATATCAGTGTGGAGATCTGCTACACTGCACTGCACTCAGCATAAAGCGTGAACAACACCCAGATTCTCAACACTGATGTCAGTCAAGTGACTCAGTGCTTCTGTGTGGTGACTGAGATACTTGGCGCGTGGCTAGACGCATTTCCAACAAACTACAGACAAATGTTACCAGCGGCTGCCGCCTACGGTTACCCGATACTGAAGATCACATCAGATGGCCGGAATAATAAGAGTAAGTAGCAAGAAACTCCGACTGGCTGACTGACTGGCAACGAACCAACCAACAACCGATCGCCCAACAAATATGCAGAGGAAAGTGGATATGGATGGGATTTGGCATTCACCGAAAGACGGAATGGGGAAATCGCGTGCGGTGCCGTCGAGTGTATGCCGAGTGGGCAACGACGAGTTGGGTGTCCCAGCTGAGGGTGACATGAATGAGATGGTGTGAGGAAGAAATGAAGGCTCGTGGGTAGTCGTGGAGGCGTATTCGAAAGACCACAGAGAAGAGAGTGAAATGGCGACATGCTACTGGATCTCTGTATTCCACTAGGAACCAAGGAACTAATAGTTAAAAAGTGATGGAAGTATTTTTTACCCAACCCTTCCTTTTTACGGACCGCAGAAGGGTACGAATGGGTATTCAGATCCGTTGGAATGGGCTTGTTCTTTTGAAAATGGAAACACCTTCTAAGAATCTTTTCATTTCAAGAGATATTTTATGATCTAAGCATGAGGCTTGGTAAGTGATCTTTACTCCTTTTTTTCCCGTTCACGTGAACTTTTTGGTTTATTTTTGCAGCTTCAATTATGTTCGTTTAGACATGTTAAGGCATGAGACGATGTCCGGCCAACGCATGTGACACCAAGTCAATCGAGGCTTACCTTATGTTGAGTTTTGTTGATTCACATAGGAAATTTGGTCTTTCAATTTGTATAGTTGTAATAACGGTTATTCATATGAAAGGATTGTACAAACTGATCGACTTCAAGGAAGTTTTCATCGCAAACTGACATCATTTAGAGAACCACTGAAAACCCGAAGGGACTGGACGGCTGTTTCGTTCCAGTATGGGACTCCTCGTCAGTACACACCCGTGACCACGCCAGGGGTCATGCCCAGGACCATCCAATGCCACTGCGAGCACGCCACCATTCGTCAGCCAGTGGGTCAGAGCCCAGTTATTCACATTTCACTACGTCTGTTGGTCCACGGTTTGGCGCAACCACCGTCTGATGCCATCGTTAAGCGTTTTCCTTCATGTCCCACCTGGCTTGGGTCGCGACTTTTTATTATCACTCAGGGAAATCTCATCTAGAAGCATATCGCTAATGAGCGTTGGACAGTAATTCAGCCTGGAGAATTGAGAGGATTTCTTGATTTCAAGGTGGTATCCCTCATCGGCCTACATCAGTAAGTTCAGTGTTCATCACTCTAAAGAATACCTTGATGTTGTAACTGTTTAGGACGCATCCTATTTCTTCTGTTGTTGTCCAAAAAGAAGCACTGCATCACTCATCTAGTCTCCACCAGCTGAATTTTTTTATCTTTTTTGAGCAGATTTCTCTCACTTTTCTTTCATTGGCTTCTACATAGAGCTGCTCCACTTTACAGTTTCTCGGGGAAGTTGCCTACATGCTTTGGGAAGTTCCGGCTTGGTCTGTACCCATTAAGGTCTTGTCAACAAAGCATTGTGGAGACACTTGACTTATTTTCTACTCAACAGGCTGATTTAAAGTCCAGGTGTCTGTTGGGATGTCAGCCTTTTCTATCGACAGTGATACGTTGAGTGAACCGTTACTGTTTCCTATGACACTAGTCTGCAAGAGTTAGAGGTTAGAATTTATAACTTTGCTGAACACATCCCATGCATTAAGAAATGTCGTGTCTCAGAAGCATTTGATTGTGTGCAGACCACTGCCTTGGTGTACAGTGATGTATGCCAATCTATCACACTCCGTCATACTTTAGTGAAATGGAACGTTATATCTATCTTCCAACTTCTTCTTTCCTTTCCCTTTTTCCAGTTTCATTCAAGCTCACCTTCGGATAAATAAAATTTTCCGTAGACTATTTTGAAGATCCTATGGGTTGAAATGAGATCACTTTATATAAAGATTGAGATACTGCTTTTTCCCTGCCCTTATCTCTTGTCTTGTTGAGGTGCGTGTGTTTCACCGTTGTCTGTAAAGGTTTTCAGGAGTCTTGCGGGAAGCGTTGGAGATTATTCATTAGATCTCTCAGATACAGAAATATGGTTAAATGTTAATATCAACTGAATTTGCTAAATTGTCAGATAAGGTAAATTCTTATGGTAAACGGAATGTTTTCGTTTTGCAGATGTTGAATTACTTCTATTCTGTGTGCATACGGTGGATAATTATTGTGAGCGAGGATTACGGTTGGGAAAGTAGGTGGTTCTCTCAGACTTGGTCAGCTGAAATGATTACGTTTCTTTTACACACTGGACAGAAATGCAGACTGGACTCTGTTTTCAGGTTACGTCACCATTCATGACAATTCCAAGCTTGTTTCTGTGACTAACTGACATCAGTCGGATGACTATTAGAAACCATGAGATTTCGGAGAGCCATCCCACCTGATTTGAGCATCCTCAGTATAAGACTCTAGAAGGATTACAGCTTGAGACTGTCAGGTCTGTTAACAAGCACGCTACAGATCAACAATCTAGCAGCTTACATCTTTAAAATTTTGTCAAGTTGCGTCAAACTTGTCCTATACTACGAACCGTAACTTCTCATTAAAACGCTCATTTGTGACCAAGTTGTTCACTGAGGTACCTGGACAAACTCAAGTGACTCACTGTACCAGTGAACAACTTAAGTAGCTAGAAGCCACTCAGGCCGATCTATGTATTTCTCCATATAGCCAGATCAGAGTGATCTAAACACCAGACAGCCGTTTCGCCGGTTTCCATCCAGGCTCGTCAGTGACATACTGGGATAAATTCAGCCCACGCAGTCAAATCGTTCAGGTTGCCTGAATGTGACCAGCTGACTTGTATGGATCGGTTTATGTAAGTCAGCTAGCCAGACTTAGGTATTCTGAACCATCTCATTGAGGAGCACGTCCTTAAAACAGCGAAATGACTGTTTAGTGTTCAGATCACTCTGAACTGGTTGTTCTGAGAAATATACACATCAGCCTGAGCGGCTTCCAACTTCTCAAGTTGTTCAGTAGTACGTCCTCAAAAGTAGTTGTAGTTAATAGCTGTACAAACCGGAAATATAAGATCAGGGAAATACATTTAGCTTTGAGGTGATACAAAACCTGAAGTATTCAGTCGAAGGAGAAAGCGATTGGGTAAGATGTGAATCCATGATCATTCACTGTATGTGAGTGGGATGCAATTGAGATCGTGACAAGAAAACGATAACGTTCTCCACTGGTAATCAGGTGTGTTTCGCCCTGTTCAGGACTCGTCAGCTAGATGTACCCAAACCCTAGAAGTGATAGTATCCCCACTGAGACTCAAACCACATCCATTGCTTTAAAAGCCAAAGCACTGTCCAGTTGGCCACTGAGGTTATTTCAAACCAACCAGCCTAGGATATTGTGATCCTTCGTAAGGTTTCGTCGTCGTTTTTATTTATAGATTTAGAATTACACGGTGATCCCCAACTGTGTATCACTACCGATTATCATTCTACCTACTCAAATGTACCTTATTCGAGTTAAGACTTCCATGGTGTTCATGCCAGTGCCGTTGCGCAATTAGCAACAAGTCATAAACTTAGGCTTCGTAGTTTTTAACACCAGTATGTAAGATGTGTTTGCAGACTGTTGGAACATCATACTTCTTCTATGAGACGAGATCTATTTAACTCATCTCTGAAGCCACAGACTTTGATAGCAATTAATTTACACCACAACTGACCTGTTGTGGAAGTAGGTCATGCAAACGAAGAATGCTATGGAACCGATCTAGTTTCTGATCAGTCACTTAATGCTTTACGGAACCCTATTGATGAGGTTGGCATAGTTTATTGTCGACTGACTGCTAACATTTGACACCAAGAACAGTGCAGTATAGTGAGGTTGTACTTGGCTTAGTAGCCACATTGTTCACCTAAATGATGGACCTTGACCTGCACTAAGAACTTGATAACCATATGATTTACCGATTAGTGAGTCCCCTCATGACATGTCTTCTCTTTGTGTGTTTCTCTCAAAACGAAGTATTAAATTTATTGTCAGTTAGATTGCTAATCAACTTTGTCAATAAGTATCAACACGTACCTATTCATATGAATATGGAGTTAAGTTATTCTAGTAAGATGCAGGTATCTGCAACTTCTAACTGCGCCCTCGGAAGGTACTAGGTATACAACGTTTGATATCCAGTAAGATGAAATTGAAAGATTTTTTCCGTAAGCATAGCTTCAACTTGACCAGCATCATGTACATTGACAAGTTGTATACAGTGAAGATCATGATTCACGTTTATCACAAGGTAATATTTTCCAATAAATCGATTCCAGAAATCATTCGTTTTTACACAATTTTCCTCTTCAAGTTCTATTTCTTTCCAATGAAAGAAAAGCAAATGAATAACAAATGAATAGTTGAACAGGTAATTTGGTTGTTTAAATGCTTTCGGCATCAGCGCCGTGGCAACAGCCACATACTCATTTGAACGGCTAAATGAAAGAGGTTTTAAGCAATATCATCCTTTAAGGATTTTTCCTTCCCTTTAAGGTTATGTTGGTTTAAAACATCTTCATTTATTTGTAAATCAATTAAAAAGTAAATTTTTGTAAGACTGAGAGAGAAAATGAAATATGAGAAATGAGTAGACACGGCATAAAAGTCATCTAAAAGCAAGTGGGAGGAACAATGATGATGAAGGAGGCACGATAACAGAATGAGTAAAAATGAAGTAAGACCCGCAACAACAAAGGTAGTGATAATTACAACACTCGACACTTGAAACATTTTAACTTTCAAATGGGCACAAACAAAAGATTAGATCACTTCGATACAACTGAAAGTGATTAGATGGATTTGATATGACATACCGACTTAGACCATCACTATGAAAATGTTGGTTGACCATTTGTAAATAAGTATGCTGGGGGATATGTTGACTTTTTTCTCGACTGTTCTGTTCATCTGGATGATGTTTCTGTTGTTGTTGTTGGTGATGATTATTTGGGTGAGTTACTTGTTGTGAATTATCTTCACTACTAAGAGATTTCCGATTTAGCTGTAATGAATGCTTGCGTAACAGTCGGTCAACAGGTAAAGCACAAGTGCTTAAACGTCTATGAGATGTTTCAAATTTTTTAGTGATAAAATTTTGATTATCATAAACTTTACCAGTTTTTTCACTGGCAGTAGATTCTGTTACTTCAGTTGATTCTTCACCTGAAATGATGTTTAGTTTGATTTTGCTTGGGACTGTTACCAACCGATTAGGTTCATTAAGTGTATTGAAAGAAAGACGATATATGCCAACACATAGAATTCCATGTTCTCTGATAGCATGACAAAATAGATCTCCATAACAGCTAAAAAATACTTTACGGCCATCAGTAGACATTTGTATTAGACGAGGATCAGATAATGGAATTTGTTCAATCCTCGGTCTTTGTCGTGTTTTAAGCAGACCAGGAAATAAGAATGAAACTCTAGTACTCCGAATCTTCTTTGACAATGAATGGTTTCCTTTATCATGCCAATCATGAAGACCAATTAAACCACCACCTTCAGCTAACCATTGTTCTAAAGCTGGAGTAACACCACCAGTAACAAGATGACGTATTAATGTCATAGAATTACGATCAAAATATGCTGTACTTGCTAGTACATCAAGAACAGAACTAGTGAATGCAATACCTCTAGCAAATGGAGCTGTTAATGAAGCTGTAATTTGTACTCCACCAGAATTATCAGGATCTAAATAATGTATATTATTATCTGTCATTAATTCTGTAATCAATGGAATCTCTGAACCATTACGACGTTTAATATTATGTGAAAATGCATTATGTCGATAAAATGATGAAAATTTCATAGCTCTAATATTTAATGTACACAATATCACTTCTTTGTCTAACATATATGGATCATCTACTTTAATTGTTCCTCTTGAGCCTAGTATAACACATACAGATGAATATTGAATACGTGCTTTTCTTAAATCAGCACGAGATAATGCACTACCAGCAAGTGTATATACTTTTGGAAAATTAGCTATATTTAACCATTCACGTTGAAGAAATTTTATATCACCTAAAAATAAAATTGTTCTTAGTTGAGATGAGTGAAAATTACTTGCTCTTAATGGCATAACAAATGAATGTAGTCCAAGTAGAGGAGCATCAGATTCAGCTAGAATACAAACAAGAATATGATTGTGCAAATCATTTGACTTATTAATTGATGTATTAGATGTGATAAGATTATCCTCAAATTTTTGTTGACTACAATAGTAGTACATGCCTAAAAAGAGAAGGAATACACAATGAAAGTATAATTAGAGTAAAACTAATCAATTAAAGTAGAACAAAACAGTTAGTGAGATTTTATATAAACTATGATCAAGATTTGATGGTATAGTACGGCAAATATTGGGCGCTGAGTAAAAGGTTGACACTAAATGTAGATTGTATTTGTGTGAGTCACAGCGGGTTTGAAATCAAATAATTTCAACGTTTCACACAGAAGTCTGGTCCGAGCTTCTTCAGGGAAATAATCAACACTAAGACATCAAGGATATACAAATCAATTCAAAAAATGTGTGTTTAATCTCCTTGTCCAATCCTCTTCGTATAGTCATTGTCTTTCTAAATTATGATAACTAATCATTCAGGGTGGACTTGTATGTCTTTTGTTGCATGGCATATGTATGTTATATGTGTATGTACTCCAATTCATATTCGTCTTGATTGTAAATATCAGACAAAAAGGTCACTGGTGCATTATAGTCATTCGGTAATTTTATGATAGAGACAGTATCTATGAAATCAAATGGGGAGACTGTACTGCAGTATATGTAGAGGAAACAGCCAAACAGGTAAATGTGAGAGTCAATGAGCATAAACCATGCTTAAAGCAGATCCCAAAAACCTCAGCAGAGGTTAAGAAACTGAAAAACAAATCCGCGATCACGCTACATTACATAGAAATGGGACATAAAATTGAATTTGACGGAACTAAGGTTCTACAAAAAGGTTTTGGGTAATACCAGAAAAGACTGACAGCTGAAGCCCTACATATGTGGACGAATCCAGACAGTTTGAACAGACGAGATGGAGTACAGTTAGCTGCCTGTTGGCAATTATTAATTAGTAAGCAGAAAAAGTGACTCAAAACATTTACCGTCAACACCAGTCTCAACTTCATTATTTCTGCATCAACAACAACACAACCTGAACTGGTTTGATTCATTATTGCTATCATCATCATTACCACTCATTTCCACTTTATTCCGGTAAATCAATGCGAAGAAAATTCTCTAACACTATTCACCACTTAATTCCAACTGAAATTGTATACACATCCACCTCATCCTTTTCAATTTGTACTTATAAGAAATTACCGAATGACTACGTCCCAATGTCCTTTTTTTCTGATATTTGCAATCAAGACGAATATGAATTGGAGTACATACACATATAACATACATATGCCATACAACAAAAGACATACAGTTTCACACTGAATGATTAGTTATCATAATTTAGGTAGACAATGACTATACGAAGAGGATTAGACAAGGAGATTAAATACACGTTTTTTGAATTCATTTATATATCCATGATATTTTAATGTTGATTATTTCCCTGAAGAAGCTCAGACCAGACTTCTGTGTGAAACGTTGAAATTATTTGATTTCAAACCCGCTATAACTTACACAATATGCAATCTATATCTAATGTCAGGTTAGTAAGTTATGTTAAATTATTTGAATGTTTGAAGGAAATCAGCAGGATTAACTAAAATCTCAGCTGCGTTGACGATTGTATATGAGGAGTTACTGATACCAAAAACAAGATATTCACGGAAAAGGAATACTCTTTTCAACGAATTTATTTTCAAGCTGTACACTCGTATATATATGATAGTTAAAGACTGTAATCCGTGAAGAAGATTTAACTTAAATAATGCAAGGTTGAAACAATAGTAATGGTGATTATAGTTATAATGTTTTTAGTTGATGGCGTAAATGTCCAATGATAATAAAAGGAGGGTTACGTAAGATTTTTAAATCGTTTATAAGGTGCATATAGATTGAAAATGAGGCGAAAACGTGATAGAGTAAATAAATAATCAAATGATTAAGTAATATGAATGAGACAATAGGTTAATTGGAATAAACTGAAAATGTTTTGTTAAAAGTTACGATTATTAGGAAGATCAAATGAAATAACACCCGAAAAAATTAAACATAAAAACAAAGTGTTAATGATGATACTTACGTACAAAGATTAATCTGATAAAAAGAAGGGGGGGGGGTGAAAAACAAAAAGGAACGAAGTACACCAAGACTAAAATAAATTAAGGCCAAGGTAGAGACAAAGACTATACATACTTATGAGGGTAAAACTTGTGCACTGTGGTAGAATGTAATTCCATTTTTATTGGTTTATTAGATTTATCAACCTCGCCTGGTTAACTAGTTTACTAGTTACTAGCCGGTCCTAAGCCCGGGTAAAGAGGGAAGGTTGGGCATAGGGCTAGCAACCCTACCCCGTAAAACAAATCTAACCGCTAAAGAAACTTCAAAGCACAAACAAAATATAAAAAATGAAAACAAACTTATTCCCCGCTGGAATCGGAGAGGCGAAATGACGCCAGTTGGTGAAAGCCTTCGGGAAGCCAATTGGCCGATGTGTCTTCTCTCGATGAAAGCGAAAGTAAACGTGGGGACATGGAATGTCCGCACGATGTTTGAACCCAGTAAGGCAGCCCAGATTGCAAAGGAGATGAGAAGGTATAACATCGAAGTGCTTGGGATTTGCGAGAGCAGATGGAATGGGAGTGGACTCTCCAAACTGTCAACTGGAGAATCAATAATCTACTCTGGTCACCCAGACGCCAACCACGAGCACACTGAGGGAGTGGCTATCATGATGTCCTCAAGAGCATCGAAGGCTCTCATGCAGTGGGAACCAATCTCCTCCAGGATCATGACAGCAAGATTCAACTCAAAAGGAAGAAAGGTCACAATCATACAATGTTATGCACCTACAAATAATGCAGAGCAAGAGAAAAAGGAGGAATTCTACAGACAACTTCAGTCAACACTGGACAAGACGTCAGTTGGCGATATCAAAATTCTAATGGGCGACATGAATGCCAAACTGGGAGGGGACAACACGGGAAGAGAACTAACCATGGGTCGAGAGGCGCTAGGTGAAATGAATGAGAATGGAGAATTGTTTGCAGAATTCTGCGCATTCAACGATTTGGTGATTGGAGGCAGTGTGTTCAGGCACAAGGATATTCACAAAGCGACATGGACTTCACCAGATGGACACACTAAAAATCAAATCGACTTTATCTCAATCTCAAGAAAATGGAGACGCAGTCTACTTAACACAAGGTCAAGAAGAGGAGCAGATGTAGGTTCAGACCACTATCTAGTGCAAGGAACCTTCCAAATCAAGTTGAAAGCCTTCAAGGAAGCTGGTGATAGACCTCAATTCAAGTACAACACTCGGAAACTGAAGGATGAAACTACAAAGGAGACCTTCAAAGCAGCCATCAAGACAAAATGGGAGACGTCGAGGGACATCCCTGAAGAAACCTGTGTAGAAGAACACTGGAAGTCTTTGAAAGCTATGTGGAAAGAAACCTGCACAACAGTATTAGGAAAGAAGAAGGTGGAAGACAAGGAATGGATCTCGACGGATACCTGGAAGCTGATAGAGGAGAGGAGGATGGTGAAACAGAAGATAAACCAGTGCAAGGATGCTCAACGACAAGAGGAACTGAGCACAATGTATAAAACACTGGATAAAGAAGTGAAGAAGAGTGCACGCAAAGACAAAAGACACTTCTACGACACACTGGCAAGTGAAGCAGAACAGGCTGCAGGTAAGAGAGACCTGACGACATTGTATCAAATAACCAGGTTGCTATCAGGGAAGAGACCAACACAGATGAAACCAATAAAAGATGAAGAAGGAAATTTAATTACAAAAGAAGAGAAACAGAGGAAACGATGGGCCGACCACTTCAAGAAGCTCTTGAATCGACCACCACCTGCACTTCGTCCAGAAATACCACCTGCAGCCGCTGAATTACAAGTGAACATAAATCCCCCAACGAAAATGGAAGTTCTGAACGCCATAAAGCTACTGAAATGCGGGAAAGCAGCAGGACCAGATGGAATACCGCCAGAAGCACTGAGAACAGATGCAGAGACAACAGCGGACATGCTCACACCACTATTGCAGAAGGTGTGGAGGGAAGAGAAGGTACCTGTCGATTGGAAGAAGGGTTACCTTGTCAAACTGCCGAAGAAGGGAGACCTCAGTGCTTGCAAGAACTGGCGCGGAATCACTCTCCTATCCACCCCAAGTAAAATATTAAGCCGCATCATCCTGGAGAGGCTTAAAGACGCACTGGATTCAAAACTGCGACCGGAACAGGCAGGCTTCAGGAAGTACAAATCATGTGCTGACCAAATTGCAACGCTTCGTATCATCATAGAACAGAGCGTAGAATGGCAATCAGCTCTATACCTCAACTTCATCGACTTTGAGAAGGCCTTTGACAGCGTCGACCGAGAAGTAATTTGGAAACTGCTTCAATACTACGGAGTACCGCAAACCTTTATCCGCCTCATTCAACAACTATATGAAGATGCCACATGCCAAGTAATCCACAATGGGAAGCTCAGTGATGCCTTTGAAGTGAAGACAGGAGTGAAACAAGGTTGCCTACTATCCCCCATGATATTCCTTATTGTGGTGGACTGGATCATGCAGCAAACAGTAGGCAGCGAGAAGAGGGGGATACACTGGACGACGGAAAAGAACCTAGAAGACTTGGATTTCGCCGATGACTTATGCCTAATGTCACATAAACTTGAAGATCTGCAGGCAAAAACTAACAAGTTGACAGAAGAGGCAGCTAAGACGGGACTTCAGGTGAATATAGAGAAGACAGAAGTGATGAAGATACCGCACCACCAACATCAACAACAACAACAAACTCCAATCACCGTCAACGGGAGAAACTTGAAGGAAGTAACCTCCTTCACTTATCTAGGAAGCACTGTTTCAACTACAGGCGGGACGGACGAGGACGTCAAAGTCAGAATTGGAAAAGCAAGACAGGCGTTCATTAGCCTGAAACCAGTGTGGGGATCTTCCGCACTCAGCATGTGGAACAAGATACGGATTTTCAACACCAACGTCAAGTCAGTGCTCTTGTATGGCTCAGAGACTTGGCGCGTCACGAAAGGGATTTCCAATAAACTACAGACATTC